ACTTACAAATCGTCTTCAGAGTTAAGTGGGTGCACCATTAGCTCAGTGGGTGCTATCGTTCTGGACTATGGTGCGGTTGACTGTGGTTCCAGTCCAAATTAGGCCTTTTTTTAAAGTGATTTGTTCGGTGAGTTGCCAAGACTCTTGGCCTACCCCTTGACCTGGCACCTGGAATACCTGGAGGTTGCTATATTATGAGAACAGTCCATGTTTTTATTTTTCCATCCATGTTACTCTTTGTCTTTCCCTGGCTCTCCTGCCCAACACCCTTTCCTTCAGCAACTTTTTCCCAATGGTCTCGTGTTGTTTTAAGAGGCAAAAGTAATGTATTTTTGTACATTTTATTTTATTCATCAGGGTATGTCTTGTGTGGAGAATCTAGCACACCTCATTATTCGTCTTTTCCGCTTTCCAGCTAATTCTGGCCATTCTGTGGTAACACCACATATCAAGCGCAGCTGTTTTCTTTTCTTCTGTCTCTGTCAAAGTCCAGTTCTCAGCGCCATATAGGGATAAGAGGAAGATATAGGTCTAGCATTCCAGCAATCTCTTTCTTTAAAGTAGAGATTGGTTGCCTGGACGTAGATTCTGAGTAGTCGGACTTTAGGCTGAATCTTTCTTACTTTTGCATTTGCTGTTCTGGCACGTGAACGCAATATTCGGAGCCGCTGAGTATCACGTAACATTGCACAACAGGCAAAACCACACCTAAAGGAAACAAAACCCAGAAAGATTAAACCTAAGCCTAGAACTTTTACATAATAGTTTTTGTTGTTGAGGTTGTTGTTGTTGCTTTGGGTGCAATCTGATCACAATATTATGTGAAAAGTGCTTGTGTCCTGGATGTCATAGTTGTGGCAGCAGCATCCGTTTTCTGTAGAAGCTTCTTTACCGGCTTCTGTGGTGTAGCGGTTAGGCGTTTCGCCTTCGCAAGCAAAAGACCCGAGTTCGATTCCCGACTGGGGAGGTATTTTTATCAAGTGTCTCGGTCTTTATGTTGGGACATTGTAACCCTCTTATTAGCTCGTCGAAACCCTCTCATAGGATTTTAAATGGAGCGACACCAGCATTTTCTACTGGGTTTAACCCCAGTATACACAATGGCAGACCCCATAGTGTTTTATTTTTTAAGATTATGGGTTAGGACAAGGGTTAGGGTAAGAGTAAGGACTAAGGTTTGTGTTAGGGTTACGGTTGATGTTTTAGTATTATCAGAAATTTAAAAAAAATATTTCGAGCCTTTATGTCCTCACAATTAAGAGTCAAATTAGTATCTGATATCAGTATCATTTTTGTTGCTACCTCTGTTGTAGCCAGAGATCAAAGATCAAAGATCGAACTCGAGTCTTCTGCGTGCGACGGCGAAACGCCACACTCTATCTCAGACATCAGTGTGTGCTCGCTGTCCATCTTTGTTTCTTTTCATCCAGAAACGGGCGTCTATGGTGTAGTGTGTAGCAGCGGTTAGGCGCTTCGCTGTCGCACACAGGGGGGCTGAGTTCATTTTCCGAGTGGGAACAAATTTTTATCGAGTATCCCGGTCTTTCTGCTAGGATGTTGCATCCTTCTCAGCCCAAATGATCTAAATTGTATCGTTTGGAGCGTAAAAACGCTCAATGTATATAATAATATTATACATATTTTATAATATGATATCTTTTTCCCCAATCCAGAGTGGTCAAACGTCTCCAGAGTTACTTCCCCATCATCGGCGTCCTCCGTGACTACGCCTGGCGCTCTGACCTGCTACATGACTTTACATCGGGGATCTCCGTCTCCTTCATACAGATGCCCATGGTAGGTTTCCCTTTGTCTCTACATTTCATCATAATTATTGATTATCATCGTCGTCATCATCATCAACATCATCACCACCATGATCATCATCATCTTCATGATCATAATCATCATGATCATGATCATCATCATCATCATCTTCATCATCATCATCATCTTCTTTTTCATCATCATCATCATCATCATCATCATCATCATCATCATCATCATCATCATCATCATCATCATCATCATCATCCAAGCAATGTTCCTTTTCCTATTTTGATTTTTCTTCAAATAAAAATTGCTACGATGTTGACACATGTTCTGTGTTACTTACAAATACGAAATAAGGACATGGGACAAAAGAATAAGGTATCCTTTTGTCTTGCTGTCAGTCAGTTTGTCAATCTGTCTGCCTTCATGCCTGTTGCTCTCAGCCCCACGCTTTTATCTCTCTGTCTCTTATTCTCTGTCTCTCATCCCTCTCCCTCTCTCCTCCTCTCATTTTTGTTTTTCTCTCTCTCACTCTTTCTCCCCCCTCTCTCTATCTCCTCTCTCCCCCTCTCCCTTCTCTTCCCCCTCTCCCCCTCTCCCCTCTCTCCCCCTCTCTCTATCTCTCTCTCTCTATCTATCTCTCATGGACTCTTCCTAACCCGCACACAGACACTAACACAACCTCTATCGAGGAAGAAAACCGGTTATCTTAGATAGGTGGACAGGCGGATATTTTGGGCAGTGTCATTATAGTATTTTAAAAAAGTAAGGGACGAAATGGACAGTGGCCGTTTGTACAGGCAATTGTCTTGTTCGGATGGCTCTTAGCAGCACGTTTTGATAGCAGTTGTCATTTTTATGTTGTTTATACCGCATCCAGTCTGCCTGTCTCGTTTATCTGTTTGCCCATTCTAAAGTTTCGTCGAAATCCAAATCCGTTGACGTCATTGCCATGTGCATGTCAACACTGCTATCGTTCTTGTGTTTGTTGTTATGTAGTTGTTGTTGTTGTTGTTGTTGTTTTCTTCTTCTTCTTCTTCTTCTTCTTCTTCTTCTTCTTCTTCTTCTTCTTCTT